TGCAAGCTGGTCCGGAGCCCGGCGTGGCGGGGGCCTCGCGCGCCTTGGCACGTGCAAGTGAGCGCACAAAAAAAAGGCGGCTTCGTCACTCCAACGGCCGCCGAACTCGACGGCGAGCACGACCGAGCGGCATCTGGCAGAGCTGGCTCGCCAATGGCGACACAAGGGTGGTGTCAACCGCAAACTGCAACCTCCAGCCGTCTGTCGTCTACTCGTTCGACGTGGCGGTTCATGTCAGCCTCCCGGCAGACCCGCCGCCCTCTCCAAAGGACAGCCGCGGCTCCGAAGGACGCTGCACGGTGGTCGCCAACGGGGGTCGAAAGGGCGACGGCGCCGGCAGGTGCGAGCGGTGAGCGGCAACGGAAGGCGGAGACGCCGGAACAGCTGGGAAGGATAATCCAGGGCGGGGCTGGTGGGCACAGTGGTGAGAAAGCGGCTGGCGAAAGGGCCTTGCTGTGACCGGGGCAAAGCCGCGCTGGATGGGTCCAAACGGAGAGCAACTGCACACACGCTCGGCGGGCAACGGTCGCGGCCGCAGCCCCTTGCCATCCGCAAACAAAGGTGGGGGGGCCCGTCCTCTTGCGGGGCCAGCGCCGGCGCGCCGTCACTGAGCTCACACCAGCTGGGGGGGCAAGGCTGAGCTCGGCGTGAGCTGTGGCAGCAGCGCGAAGGCAGGGCGCTTGCGGGACCGGGGCCTCAAGGTCATGGAGGAAAGCTTGCGCCGCATGCGGCAAGTGCTGACGAAGGACAGGCAGACAATCTTCCCAAGATGCAGAAGTTTGAGCAGCAGACAGCAAACCAAGGCCACCGAGCAACAAGGGCAACTGGGCGATCCTTCAAGCCTGGTCGGGAAGACCGTCGACACCAAGAAAGTCCGCGAAAGTCGACAGAATAGCCAAGTCATGGGCACCGGCGTACTCGGCCGTGACATCGAGCTCGGGCAAACGCTGAAGGAGCCGGTCATGGCTGGCTCGCGACGCCAGGAGCTGAGTCCGGACAAACGCGTCAGAACCAAAAAGGGCCCCAAGAACAGTACGCCCTTGTTCTGCATTGGGCAAACGCCCAGCTCCAACCCAGCAGAACAAGTCCGGCAGCACTTGAGGCGCACGTGGCAGTGCAGGTGGGCCAAGGTTCCGTGTAGACATCGCCCAAAAAGGCAACCAACTGTTGGTTGTTGTGGGTGGCCTGTAGCGCCTGGCAAAGCGCATGCAGGGCGGGCATCAAGGGGTCGCAGGGGTCGCCCTGCTCGCCCCCCTCGGCCTATGTGTGGCATCCCCCCCGAATCGTGCCAACAAACGTACTCCGAGTGCTCGGAGTAAAACATCCGGACAAACGGGAGACACTTGTTTGCCCCGGCACGCCAAGCAGGCTGCAACATGGACTGGCGACTCATAGTATCAAAAGCACCGATCCCGTCGACCGAGACGACGGGTTGAGCTCCAAAGCGGCCGCAAGGAAGGTCGACAGGAAGGGGCGGCATGCCTCTTGGAGGGCTTCGGCCCTTTGCTGGGCAAAAACACGGGCGACCAAGCGACGGGTGAAATCACCGACAACAATGCCCCGGATCCGGCCGTTGGGCTTGCGCAAGGCGATGAGCCGCCCGAGCCCGAGTGCTCTGAACACGAACAAACTGATCGGACGCATCCTCGTCATCGAGGAGCGCGGGCAGCTTCAACAGTCACTCCGGAAGGTCCGGGGGCGGCGCCTTTGCGCGCACGCCGTAGGTTGGAAAGGATGAGCTCCGGAAGCCAAGGTGGACCAGGTGGCGCGGTCGTTGGCTTGAGCGATCTGATCCGGCGTTGGGGGTTTCGAGGCTGGGGTCAAGTGAAGGTGGCTGATCCGTGCCTCGCTGAGAAGCTCGAGCCAGCGGCCCTCATGGAAAGCGGCGATGCGGGCAACCCAGTCTTGCTTGGGTATTTTCTTGACCCCAGGCTTCCGGTGCAACAGCAGGCGGGGCAACAGGAACCACAACCTCCAGGCCTGCATGGACGCGTAGCAGAGAGGGCAAAAGCAAGGGCCTGCCACACGGGCCCGCGAGCAAAGGAAGGCACAAACGGAAAAGTAAAGGCACGTTCCTGGAGCACCTTTAGCAAGTCAAAAGAATCCAGGCTAAACAGGGCTCGCCGCAAGCGCCGAGCGCCGCAGCTGGGGCTGGGTCGGGGTCGGGGTCGGGCTGGTGGGACTGCCCGGCCAAGTCGTTGCCTCGATTGTTGTCGGTGTGGCTGGTCGCCTGGGCTGGCAGGGCGGCCACTTTGGTTCCTGCTGAACACTACCGCATCTTGCTGGATGACGACTGCGTGCCGCGCAAAACCTAGCAAACGCTCGTGTCCCTGCTGCTGCTGCTGATGGTGACCCCTCACACCGTGGAGACGGGCTGCGGTTGGATACCTTAACAAATGACCTCAAAAAACGCGTTCACACACAGCTGCGCCACGCAACCGAGGTGCAACGAATGCCCACACGACGGCCACACGTACTGGGCTTCCGCGCCGACCGAATGCGGCAGTGCTCTTTCCCAAATGTCTACATCACTGCAACTGCTCAGGAAACCTTGTTGTTGCTGTTCTTCGGTGAGCGGCGGCCGAGATCGCGGCTGCAGCCGACCGCTTTCGTTCTGCACAACCTCCGCCGGGCCACAAACCAAAGCAACCAGAGCAATCAGAGCAACCAGAGCAGCCAACCGGCGGCGGTAGCAGCAGCAGCAGCCGCAGCAGCAGCAGCAGCAGCCGCAGCCGCAGCAACGGCACCGGCCACGGCCCAAACAGCGGCAGCGGTGGCGCCGGACGGGCCGGGCTGCTCCCCGTCGCGCGCTCCGCAAGTTGGACAGCAAGCGGGGTTCGGTTGAGGACGAGCGGGCTCGGCGGCTGGAGGGCCGGAACGTTGGGCGCTAGGGGCCTTGCGCAGGAGGGCGGTCGGCGCGCGGGGCTGGCGTGCCTGGCGCCAGGGGCTGATACTTCGCCGAAGCCAGCCAGCTCGAACCCACTCGCCTCGTCGTGCGGCAGCGGCAAGCCGCTGTAACAAGTCCTCGGGCGGGATGCGCCCCTCCCCGGGCTTCCGGCGCAGCAACGTGCCTGGCGCTAGGCAACAGCTTCCCACCGCACTCCGCGTTGAGCGTCGCAGATGGCCTGCAGAGCGAGGCGGGAGGCTGCTCCAAGGTGCGCAATTGTTGGCGCAGGGGCGGAATCCACATGGGGCAGCGTCCGGCACACCCCGCCCGCGCCCACTAGCCCGCCCGCGGCCGCGTTGACAGCGCCGCGGGCTGGGTGACGCCGGCGTCGCTGCTGGGGGCCGACAAGGGCACCGCAGGCGGGTCAGCTGGCGGCGCAACAAGCGGCGGGCCAGGCGGACTTCGCTGGCGCGAATTTCGGAACGCCGAAACATCCCCCCATCACCCCCCAGCCTCGACTGCGCGCAACACCAGCAAGCATCTGTGCGCCCAGAAGAGCCCCGGCGCGTTGCTGTGCAAGCATTTCGCAATCTCTCGACGACACTTGTGACGTGCTTAAGACTCAGGCGGCGCCGCGCGGCGACCGCGTCCGGATCAGGGCGCCGGATACCCGAATTCGATGTTGTGCGGCGTGTCAAGCCAATCTTTTTGCGCGCTGTGAGGAGGCCGCGGTTTCTTCTAGGGCTGCGCCGGGCTGCCCCGCGAGGCCAGTCGCCGACGGGGACCTCACGAATGGCCACGTCGCTCGCCCCCTCCAGCAGCTCAGTGGCGCGGCAGTGCGCCAACGCCATTCCCCCACCACCGTGCGCCACGCCCGCGGACGCGCCAGTCTCACTGGCAGCCGCGGGCTGGAGGTGGGGGCCCAGGAACGTTAGGCCCGCCGCGGATGCGCGGCTCGTCCGGAATTGGCGGCACAGCGGGCTGCAGCGCGACCGCAGGTGGCGCGGGCTGAGCACAAACTCGAAAAGCTCGAGGGTCCCTGCCCGAGGGTCCCGTGCCTGCGAGCTATGATGCTGACCGACAAGGGCGCGGGATGAGAACGAAACGTGCGCGCTGTGCTGCAAGTGCGCCCGCGCCGGCACATTCGCGCTTCAGTTCGTGCCTCGGTTTGCCTGCGCGCAAGGCTGCCTTGCTTTTGAGCTTTCCACTATCTTCCACGCTGGCGGCGCACGTCCACGTGAGCTTCGAGCACAAAGGTGAGAGAAGGCGCACTACGCGACTAACCCCACAAGTGGGGACAGGCGCGGGCCCCCGATACCAAGCAAAGAGGTCGGTCGAACTGACTCGGAGAGCGGCTCCCTACACGGTGTGCCTGGCAAGTTGGACTCGAGAAACCTACGGCTGACGCAATGGTCGTATCGACTGCAAGCTTGCGGATTGCGCGGGGAGCTGATATAGATGCAAGAAACTCGGATTTCAGAATTGAGGGCCATCGGGCAACAGCTATATACCCTATGGTTTCGGCTGCTGGAAGCTTTGAGGTGTCAGCGGAGGGCACAGCTTGGGGTGGCTGCGCGGAAATTTGCCCCAGCGTTGGGCTGTGCCGCTACTTCGCCGCATCCGACTGCTTGGGCAAAGTTTCTCGAACATAAGCAAGTGTTTTGCAATCAACTCGTTTGAAACAATCATCACGCCAAGCTATCCGGACTGTCGACCCTGCCCCATGTGCAAGGCTGACTACAGACTTTGGACGCAGCACTTTCATTTTTTGGCGAGCCCATTTGGGCACCAGCTTGTTACCTGAGTCAAGAGTGAGCCGCGTGAGGCGACGAGATTGCGAGAGACCAACGAGTGCGGCAAGCGGCTGGATGCCAGGACCATCCTTTGAGACGTCCCAACTTTCGCGTCGCACAGGCGTCGGCGGCATGGGAACAAGGCGCGGAGCTTGGCAGTGCCTGCTCCGCGCCAAATCGACGAAATCCATGTCACCTAAGAAACCGTGGAATGATTCCAGTTTCCTGCACATGCCAACAAACGACGGTGTGCGGTTTCCCATGGTTTCAAGGTGGTGCATCCCATCCACAGTATCTCTCATTTGCGTGGATTTCCCGGCCTGCCATGGCAGCCTTCTCTGCACAATCATCGCCGGGTCCACTTTCAGCGCAGCCAAGGAGCGGCGCATCGCGACGGCTCGGCACTGGTGCCGAACGCCGCTTTGGAGCGCCTTGAGCAGAAAAACCTACGGGCAGGAAAGCTCTCATCGACCTCTGCACAATTGCACGGGCTCAAGACACATGGATGCGCTCATGTTCAAAGGTTCCTGGCCCTGTTGGCCTTGTTGCCTTCTGGCAGCATGCCGCTCTCGTGTGGCTTCAACCTAAACCTCCATCTTCATCGCACACGGCTCGGCTCTTTGAACTTCTCGCTTAGCTTCGCCTTCAGTTCGCGGCTCACTCAAAAAAGAAAAGGGCCCCACTGCAACGACGCAAACAGATCTCAGTGTGCCTCTTCAGCTGCCGAAACCTAACATGAAATCTGCACCTCAGCTTTGGCATTGGGCCTGTCATGCCTGTGTCATAAGGGGGGGTAGCCCATATGTGCTGGGGTGCCTCCGTGGCTGCCTTTGTTCAGCCAACACCAAGAATCTTCTTACCTTCAACACACACACACACACACACAACACACACGACATCATTTTGGTGGGGATCCATGTCCACCAACCACTTTGGGGGGGGTTCCCTTTTAAAATTCATAGCCATCTGAGAGAGCCTGGGACTCATCATCCACGTGGCCATGGGTCAAAATCCCATACCCCCAGTGAACATCCCAATCCCAGTAAATAGACTAAAATGGGTGGTGCACCTACCCAGAATGGGATCCCAAAACGGTTTTGACAACCCCAGCCACGTCGCCAAATCTCAGTCTTAGCACCCGGCTCGGCTGCGGCCGTGCCTCGAAGCGACGTGCCGTGCGACGGCGGCGACGGCGACGGCGACGGCCCGCCTGGCTCTTGGGCACTGCCGCCCCGAGCACTCGGCTCTGCTCCTGAAGCCCCGAATCGGGCCGTTGAAATGGAAGCCGCGAGTCGGTGATACAACGAAGAAGGGCTTCCCAAAGACTGATCCCCCTATAAATATGTATGTATGTGTATGTATATATATATATATTATATATATATATATATATTATTATTATTATTATTATTATTATTATTATTATTATTATTATTATTATTATTATTATTATTATTATTATTATTATTATTATTATTATTATTATTATTATTATTATTATTATTATTATTATTATTATTATTATTATTATTATTATTATTATTATTATTATTATTATTATTATTATTATTATTATATACATGTAAAGGGGGAAAATTCCAACTATCACAGAAGTGAGGGATAAACCATGAGTGATCCCGCAACCCTGTTTCCGTCCAATCCAAAATCAGTCGCTGCAACCAATCTTGTGAGGCGCCTCGTTGCTTGGCACGACTTCATCCGCGTTGGCCACTTGCATGCCTCAACTTCTCGCGTCTCTTCTCGACGGTCGAGCACGGCTTGGCTCAAAAGCCAAGAGCACGCGCCTGGGACCGGCAGGGGCCACAGCCCGGGCACAAAGCCCAGCGCCTGCCGGAAGCCCTCCAACCCGCAACACGTGGGAAGTGACTTGGAGCTTTGACCCTCGTTGCTCTCAGTCCCAGCGCCTGCAAAGCCTGGGGGTCCACTTTGGCCTAGCCAAAGAGGGGGCAAATGGGGAAAGGCCAACTGCGCCAGGTTCGCGCCTTCTTTGCCAGTCCACCAGCTACCAGTCCGCCAGCTTGCGCCTCGGGTGTCAAACATCTGCGGCTTTTTGCAGTTTGGCAGAAACTGAACTTCGGTCGCTGGAACTGGCATCCTCTTCTCGAAATGCCAAGGCGAGCTCCAGGTACTCGGCCATGCCTATGCCTCGAGTGGACTGATCAAAGCTTCAGCCCTTGCTACCGGCTAAGACTCGAAGCCTCCGAGCTGAGCAGCCATACCTGCCATGCCACAAACCAACCACAGTCACCATACAAGAAATCCCTGGCCTTGCACAGCGTGAAACTGACTGAAACTCTGTAAGGCAGCTGCCTCAATGCATGCATCCCCTTCACAGTATCTTGTTCGGCTCCAGTCCATGCTGCCAATGCAATTCTGCACTCGTATCCGCCACGATCCCTGGACACAAAGAGTTTGCTGGTGCTGCCGGCACTCTGTACGTAGGTTTGCGGCTGATCGTGCCAGCACTCATGTCCCAGCTTCACATATTTTGGAAAACGAGTTAGACCTGCTGACTACATCACTGAGTATAACGAAACACGTGCAGGCAATCTTTTTTTTTGCTGCTTATGTAGAAACATACTGCGCTCTGAAAGCCTGGTTCAACATCTGCCAATGCAACTCAATTCTGACCAGACATTTTGTATTAGAGGATTGAGCCGATGCGTGGCTCCCTTTGTTTGTGAAGCTGTATCGTGCTGCGCAGGTTCCCGTTCATTACCGTTCATTGGTTTGAACCAAGCTTCCTTGAGAGATTTCTAGTGACTGGCGGATAACTGTGAATGTTGCTGGGGTGCTCAGCATCTTGCGACAACATGCCTGGCCTGGGTCCTCCTGTCGCCGTGAATGTCTCTAATTCGATTGGCGGGTGACCCCAAGGCTGCGACGGATGACAGACTTTGCATCATCATCATCTGGTCTTCACTTGAATGCATGCCTGCACAAAGTTTCTCGTCGGCTTCTGCGCAAAAAAGGTTTGAATGCTGATGCTGAGCCACCCACTGCCTTCCAGCTCCAATCCCTTCGGGCTTCAGTTGAGTCAAGCTTGGCATCGTATGGTAGACCCAACCTATGTGAAGAAACAAACTTCTACCCAAAAGGCGGCCGCAGCATCAAATTATTGTTTGGATCGTCTATCCATGATCTACGCGGGATTTGGTGGATTCACTGCACTGCAACACGACACGCGAAAGGCGCCTTCCCCGCTGCCATGTTTTGGATTGCATCCAACTCCTGGACACGGCGCGGCTTTCTTGGGATGTTCTTGAGGCTTGAAGGTACCCTTTTCACATTGCTAAGAATCTCCATACGATCGGTGGACAAAGGGAATGAGCGAGTCCCCTGGTGTTGAAGATAATTTAGAGTCCCCAATGCCCCCAATCTCCAAATGGACCATAGACGAAACAGGATATTTGCCGGAAAGGGACTTCTTCCTCTTGGTGTCAAGCCAACCTGAGAAGGGGTACCCATTGCGAAATCTGAAAGATCGAGGCCTGGCGCGAGAAGCGCGGAAAACACGGGGCTGGCCCCGAGCTCAACGGAAAAAAGGGAATCATCTGTGCGGACAAAGGGCAAAAAAAGGTTGGAATCTGAGAGTCCACATGCAGTTGGCGTCCATGAAAGGCACGGTTGTTAGGCAGGAATACTTGGAAGCAAATGCTTCCATATCCTTTTCGCTGTCAGTGATCTTGTGTCTGTAACAACTGACAAGTCTTCTCCGCAATCAGACACACTATATGCGCCTATCCCAACATGGGGGGACCCCAGAAAGGGTGCCCATCCGGAGTCCAAAAGAACCCAACGCGCCTGGCTCCCGTGGGCGAACTTGCAGGCGCTCCCACGCCTGCAGGAGGAAATCCCTCATTGGAACAAAAGCGACGGCCAAAGACATGCAGATCGCGACGAAAGGAATCCCTGGACCGAAGTTGGAATCCGGCACGGTGTACAAATTTGGTTTGTCTCATGGAAGCGATAGAGAGAAGGCAAAGGGACAGGCCAATGAATGATGAGTGTCAACGTACGAGCAATGACGAGCTGGAAGCGAAGAAGCGTAAGTCACCCAATTGGCTGTGGGTCAAAATCCCGCAGTGAGCATCCCAATCCCCACCAAAATAGACTAACATGGGTACCCCAACATGGTACCATTGGTTTTGACACACTGCCAAATGGCTCTGGGTCAAAAATAGGTACCCAAAAGGGAATGCTGGTAAATGGAAACCTATGTGTCCATGTCCATAAACCCAGGGTTCTATTTTGGGTACATACTGTGGATGGACGAAATCCTGCACCACCCAAGAAACCCCAGAATGATTCGATTCCCCTGTAAATACCAACAAACGTTATGGTTTCAACCATGGTTTCAAAGCGGTGCAGGAGAAATGGATTTCGTCCATCAGCATGGTCCCGCAGAATCGGTGCCCAAAAAGGGACCTGACTTCGGCCCGCACATGCAGGACCCCAGCTCGAAGAAGCGGCACGGAGTCTTGAGCCTCGGCGAGGGGCCGGCGCCGCGCTCGGAGGCTTTTGGTGTGTTGAAGTTTGGGCTTGGATTTGTTTGGGCTTGGTTTGGAGGTGTCTTCCTTTGTTTCTTTCCTCTTCTTCCTTCTTCTGTTTTCTTCTTTTTCCGGCGGGGGGGGATCCATCCCCACACGTCCACAACTCCCCACAGCAGTCACCTCACCCCCTCGCAACCTCTCAGCCACGGGCTTCTGCTCCAGGGGGACGGCGGGCTGCAGTCCCACCTGCGAGGCAACCGCGGCCCCTTTTGAGCTACACCCACACCCGAAGCGGCCGACCACATTGGAGGCCCATTTTGAGCCACCCTAATAAGCGGTTCCCCATTGGAGCCGGCACCCTGTGAAAAAAAACTCTCTTGGAGAAAGCCACCAAAAAACGAGCCGTGGCCCCAAGTGGATCATGGCCGTGGCAACCGAAGAACCGGAAATGTCCGTAAAATGGGCGGCCCGATCGGTGAGTGGAAACATGGAAATGCCAACACCTGCGGAGCCAGCCCCTCCGATCGTTTCATTTTGAGCCACAGCCAGTTGGCCATGGGCTTTTCAAAATCCACATCGGTGAACTCGCCCCCAGTGAACATCCGATTCAATCCCCACTAAAATAGAACATGGGTGGTGAATTCACCTATTAAGCAAAATGGGATCCCAAAACGGTTTTGACAACCACTGCCATTTTCCGCAGTCCGCTTCCCTCCAGAAGGGCGGCTTGGAGCCGAATCGGTGGTTTAGGCAAGAACCCGGGCTTCAAATCCAAATCCAAACAACCATTTAAGGCTCATCCGATACAGGGTCAACGACTGCCCCGGAAAAACAACACATGCTTTGACCGTGCACCAAAAGAATGATGACCCGCGCCAGGCAATCATGCCCGTCGGCATGTCGACTCGCGCCTCATGCAAGAAGGGGCACTGCTTGCCTTTGGTACACCGCGACCGCAGAAAGAACCTGCCAGCAACACCCCGGACGTTTGCTCGGCTCGTCGCCAGGGAGCCAGCCTGCACATGACGGTGCTGCTCACCTTAGTTCAATCTGACTGAAAGTGTCTTCTGATGATACCACCTCCCTTCTGAATGTCCATTGCTAGCCTCCAGACTCCAAACTGCTAAGCCCGGACTGCCTGTGTTCAAGTCAGCCGTGACTGATTGGCTGTTTTACTCAGAACAAAGCTTCCGTCCTATGTCACGCATCCAGCTTTCAGCTGGCAGCAGGTGTGCTGCCATTCGCTGAGACCAGGGCGGCCTGTGACACACTTTCGGCACCTCCAGTCTCTCGCGTCCTGCGCTCGAAAACTGCAGGATGTTTTCTCGGCCAAACGAACGCGCATCGGGAGCTTGAGAAGAATGCCGCATGCCACATGCCACCCCGAAGAATGCCAAGTCAGAAGCAGGTTCATCTGTTCCTTCCTTCTCTTTAACCTTATTGTCGTCTCTTATCTTCTGATGCCGCCATGACGGAGAGGTTCTGAGAGAGAAGGTAGGTTGCCAAGATAAAGCCGATCGCATGACACGGAAGAATGAAGGTGTGAAAGAACCCAAATATGCTTACATGCTGTCTATAGGATCATCCATCCATCGCATTTTGAGGATCCGAGAATTCGCGATCTCTTCCTCACCAGCATTCATTCGTTTCCAACACTTCCCTTTCTCGTTATTATTCACTTTTATCCTTCTTATAGGTTTTCTCCGGCGCCCGAAGGTAGCGAGGGAAGACGAGACAGATATCCGTACGTCCATCACCAATTTCCCACTGTTCAACCCCGAGACAGATAAATCTACCCAGAAATTCCCCCTAAAGGGGGTCATCTACTAAGCCAACCTACAGGAAACTCTGCAGGAAAACCCTGATTCTGGGTCTTTGGTGAAGTTCCTGTCAAACTTCCAGCTGGTTCTATGAGGTAGTGAACCGAAAGGGGGTTTTTCAGTCTACCTATTCCCTGGGCGCGCAACCTGGACTCTGGAAATTTGGTGAACTTGTCATGGTCGAAAATGTCCAGCTGCTTTCCCTAGGCCAAGCGGTCCGCGCCTCGAAGAGCTGGCCTCCTCCAGGGCCCTCTTCCTGTTCCGTGGGCAGCGAGAAGAACCCACCGAGGGGGCGAAAAAATCCGGTCCTTAAGGCATGGCTCCATCCGAAAAAACCGCCAACAAAGAGAAAGCCGGGCTTGTTTGGTCCTTTTTCGTGGCCCTCGCCCCAAAATTTGCCGGGCATTTGTCCCATCCGTTTTTGGGGCAGACCCCAACTTGGATCCACGACCACGGTCCATGTCGCCGGTCGCTCTGCCTGCTGGGCCATACGCTGGAGGCCTCCATCGCCTTTGCTTCCGCCCGCCGGGCGGCAATTCGTTCGCTGCCGACTTTTTGGGGAAGCAACCTTCAAGGGGAAAGATATTTGTATGAAAAACTCGATAGGGGGACACTGTCCGGATTTTTCAGGAGACAAATCTGCACTGGACTTGGGTTGATGTGGAAAAGCCCACGGCTTGTTCGGGGGAAACCCAAAGGCTTTAAAAGCCGACATCCATGTTGGTGGGCCTCAAGTCCAAAGACGCGGACGCGAATTGGTCTGTTGAGTTTTTTTCAGTACCCTTTCCACCTTGGGAAAAGCAAAAGCAACAGCAGCCGCGTTGGAGGTCCGCATCGCTGCGGAGATTCCAAGGCTGCGGCGAGAGCATCCGTTTGGAGATGATCTTTGTAGGCATGCAAGCACGAGAGTTGCCCTGATGTAATGATGGAAAGTAGGGGGAAGGGAGGGATGATGTCAGATTTTGATTGTGTAAAAAGATGTGCATAGTTTGTGTGGCTGAGCCAATCAGCTCGGAGTCTGGTGCACTCGCAAACAAGCATTTTGTGAGGACAACGGCAACTCATCTCTCGTGCACGGGGTCGCTGACTCATGCGGCCTTATTTTAGGCAAAGGGCAGCTCTCGCATGGCATATTTCAATCCTCCATCATCTTGGCCTGCGCCGCCGCAATCTTGGCAGCCACCTGGCTCGTCTTTGAGTTTTGGAGTGGTTTTAAGAGGAAACCAAAAGGAAACTTAAGCCATTTTTGTGGGTCCCCTATTTTAAGACACGCCCACCTTCTCCCTCCTCTTCTCCAAGGTAATCTTCTGGCTTCGCGCATGCTCAGTACCATCAGAAGCCTTCATGGTGTCGCCGTCCTTCTCGTAGGTGATGTCCTTCTTCTCTGCCATCTCACCAGTTGGATCTTCCCGGATCTTCTCATGAGCCTCTGTGTACATGTCCTCCATCTTCTCTGCGTCAATGCCAGCTGCGATGTACTTGGAGAAGTGAGCTTCGTACTTTGTAGGATCCTCTTCCTGCAACATCTCCATGTACTCTTTCACCTTGCTGGAAACTGCCAGCCAAAAGCATGCTCCATGAAAGAATGCAACCAACACCATGCAACCGGACAATGACCTTGCTGCAGTGAGGCGTGTCTTAGCAAGTAAGCTTGCCACGTGGCCGCCAAAGATCTTCTCTTTGTGAGCCTCTGCATCATACTCGGACTCTCCACCTTTCTCGTCCGCAGCTTTGAAGCCAGGGAAATTCTTGGCCTTGTGAGGCACGTGCAGCCCGCCATCGACTGCTCCCTTCAATGCACCCCACATTCTGTGTCCCACGCATGTGCGTCGGATTCCGACATCAAGGATGCACTTGAAGGGGCGCTGCTCACCGTCTTCATCTTCAACATGGTACTCCTCGCCATCAATCTCTTCTTTCCCCTTGAACTTCTCATCCAAACCAAACTTCTTCAGCACTCTGCGAGCAACAAGCAGTCCAGTGGCATAGGCAGCCGCATAGTTCTTGTACCCCGCAACAATGCCAAAGTGCTCCAACTCATGAGATGATGCGGCTGCAACCACAACATCTCCCCGCAGGGTTGCGTAAACGCACTGGCAAATGCAGCGCTTGTTGGTGAATCGAACCACTAGTCGGTATTTCCGGTTGTTGAACTTGTTCTTGTCCTGTCGCACCATCTTCCTGCGAGCATGGTAGTCTGTCTTGCCCTCACGGCGCCGGCGCCGCGCCACCTGGAAGCGCCTGAAGTACGCCGGATTCTTCAGCACCTTAACGAATGCCATGGCGAGCGTGGCCCTTCGGTCCAAAACGCTCCTGCAACGTCAAGCAACCAATAGACTTGTGCACTTTCAGCGATCTGCTTGATGCTCAAAACACGCCAGTCACCCTAATGCCTCACACAGTCTTGGCCATCGTCAGGCTCAAACATCGGACGCAAAGTTGTCTGCATGCAAGTGAACACTAGCACTGCACGCTTTTAGCACAACACGTCTTCCTTCTGCAACCGCAGGGCCGCACGGCGCTTACTCTTTGAACAAGTACGGGCAAGTATGCTCAGTCTTCCATCATCTTGGCCTGCGCCGCTGCAATCTTTGCAGCCACCTTCTCTCTCCTCTTCTCCAAGGTAATCTTCTGGCTTCGCGCATGCTCAGTACCATCAGAAGCCTTCATGGTGTCGCCGTCCTTCTCGTAGGTGATGTCCTTCTTCTCTGCCATCTCACCAGTTGGATCTTCCCGGATCTTCTCATGAGCCTCTGTGTACATGTCCTCCATCTTCTCTGCGTCAATGCCAGCTGCGATGTACTTGGAGAAGTGAGCTTCGTACTTTGTAGGATCCTCTTCCTGCAACATCTCCATGTACTCTTTCACCTTGCTGGAAACTGCCAAGCGAAAGCATGCTCCATGAAAGAAAGCGGATATGCTCACGTGCAACCAACAACATGCAACCGGACAAAGACCTTGCTGCAGTGAGGCGTGTCTTAGCAAGTAAGCTTGCCACGTGGCCGCCAAAGATCTTCTCTTTGTGAGCCTCTGCATCATACTCGGACTCTCCACCTTTCTCGTCCGCAGCTTTGAAGCCAGGGAAATTCTTGGCCTTGTGAGGCACGTGCAGCCCGCCATCGACTGCTCCCTTCAATGCACCCCACATTCTGTGTCCCACGCATGTGCGTCGGATTCCGACATCAAGGATGCACTTGAAGGGGCGCTGCTCACCGTCTTCATCTTCAACATGGTACTCCTCGCCATCAATCTCTTCTTTCCCCTTGAACTTCTCATCCAACCCAAACTTCTTCAGCACTCTGCGAGCAACAAGCAGCCCAGTGGCATAGGCAGCCGCATAGTTCTTGTACCCCGCAACAATGCCAAAGTGCTCCAACTCATGAGATGATGCGGCTGCAACCACAACATCTCCCCGCAGGGTTGCGTAAACGCACTGGCAAATGCAGCGCTTGTTGGTGAATCGAACCACTAGTCGGTATTTCCGGTTGTTGAACTTGTTCTTGTCCTGTCGCACCATCTTCCTGCGAGCATGGTAGTCTGTCTTGCCCTCACGGCGCCGGCGCCGCGCCACCTGGAAGCGCCTGAAGTACGCCGGATTCTTCAGCACCTTAACGAATGCCATGGCACTCAAATGCCTGGAGACGTGCTTCTCCGCAGCTCCGGCCCAAACTTAGGTGCACTCACACATGACGGGTGTCTCAAAATAGGGGATACCCTTTTGCATGGTTAAAAAAGGAAACCGTACCCACTTTGGAGAAACCTCCACATGCCACTGCAAGGCATCAGCAAAATGCACGCTCCATTTGCACGTCTGCTTCGTCTTTGGATGGTGGCCAGCTTATCGCAGTGAAGCAGATGGCTAGATCGCGAGGGCATGCAGACTGGCTTACCTCGCTCGTGCTTGAACTTCCTGATCAACCTAATTCGGCTCAGCATAGACGGAGCATGCAGGTGTGTAGGTCATAGAACTGAAACTGGAGTATTAT